TCACATCTGGTGGGACTATAGTGTGAGCAACGAGCTTGTTCGACGCCTTGTTTATGGCACAGGAGGAGATATTGAGCCGCTCAGCATCGTTATTTTACGCACCAGGCTCCGATGGCTGGGCCACATGCCGCGAATGCCAGCCCACCGACTCTCGCAACGTACGTTGTTTGCGCGCCGGAGGTGTGGATGGGAGAAGAGGTGAGGTGGCCAAGCGATGACTTGGTCTAGAGCAATGAAGACCCTCACTTTGACGTTGGCATCGGTTGGAACGTCTCAGCTCCCTGCTTGGGGTCCGACTGATGATGAACACGTTTGCCTGGATTCACTTATTGATCTGGCTAGGAGCCCACCTCAGTGGCGTTCGTGGTTTGAGTTTCTTTGTCCCTCCTCATCCCTCTTAGTCTCCACTCCAACCACGTTCTCCATCATCATCATTACGCGTTAGCTGGAGGCGGAAAACACCTCAGCTATTGTGCCGCAATACAAAAGACAAGAAAAAGAAAACAGTGGCACGCCCGCTGAGTCCCCAGTAACGGATGGACATCGTTCCGGAGAGCTAACAGCTGGCTGCCGTAAAAGAAAGTCATATTATGCCAAACGATTGAGATCGTGATTGGAGGGGGATGCTAAACAGGAGGGGGATGGACAAAGGAAATCACAACACAAACGCCATTGGTGCCGGCTCCTAGCCATATCAGCAAGTGTGTCCAACCAAACGTGTTCACCGTCCTTAGGACCCCAGCCAGGCAGTCGGGATGCACCAACCGACGCCAACTTCGAAGTGAGGGTTTTCATTTCTCTCGACCAAGTCATCACTTGGCCTCCCCTCCTCCTCTTCCAACCGCACTCACAACGCGCAAACAATGCACGTCGCGGGAGTCGGTGTGCTGGCATGCGCAACACGTGGCCCAGCCATCGGAGCCTGGTGCGTGATATAATGGTGCTGAGCGGTTCACTCGCTCTTCCTGTACCAAATACGCGACGCCGAACACGCTCATTGCTCACGCGGTGTTCGCACCAGACATGAGCTAAGCTGCGAAGGCAGCGATGATCGAATGTGACGAGTCTCTTCATGTCTGTCGACCTGATGGGCCAGGTTTCACAGCCGTATAGGAGAGTTGAACGGACGGCTGCGTTGTAAACTCTGCCCTTCAGGGCGAGAGTAATGTCGCGTCTGCGCCACAGGTGGCGGAGATTGGCAAAAGCACCTCGATCTTTTGCTATACGGTTCGTAACCTCATCTTCAATCCCACGGGTGCTAATATAGCTGCCCAGGTACTTGAATTCCTGAACGACTTCTAGCAGATCACCACCAAGCGTTAGCTCAGGGTTGGGTCCCTGCCAATCTTGGAGAAGTACTTTGCATTTCGATGGAGCAAAGCATAGCCCAAAACGATTGACAGCCAGTGCTAATCGGTCCAGTGCTGTTTGGCATGTTTGGGAGCTGTCACAGATTAGGGCAATATCGTCTGCATACTCCAAGTCAAGAAGTCGCTCACCAGGAAGTAGCTCCACACCTTCTAGGTCGTGTCCAGCGAACGCTGTTTCCATGACTTCATCAATAGCGAAAGTTGAAGAGGAAAGGTGACAGCGGGCATCCTTGTCTCACACCGCTGGTGATACTGAAGGGTGGCGAGAGTTTGCCATAAACCCTCACCCTGCCCGAACTATGTGCGTGCAGCGCTTTAATAATGTTTACATATTTATCAGGCACACCTTTCCTCAACAGACAGTCCCAAAGGGCACATCGATCGACCGAGTCGAAGGCACCTTTTATGTCAAGAAACACGACAACGGTGGGTCGCCAATAAACATGGCGGTGCTCCAACACTTGACGCAATGTGAAGATGTGGTCGATGCAGCCCCGACCTCGACGAAATCCGGTTTGCTCTTCAGGAATCTGGCTTTCACGAGTGCCAGTCAGTATGTGGAGAATGACAGAGGCAAGCAATTTAGAGGCAATCGAAATCAGACTGATCCCTCTATGATTGCCACATTTCAAACGGGAGTTTCCCTTGAAAATTGGGACAATGACGGAGCGGTTCCAGTCTGTCGGGACTGTCTCCTGCTCCCAAAGTTTTTCTAGCAACTCGTGTAAATCATCTACTACAGCAGGTCGCCCGAATTTGAAGAGGGCTGGGGGAATTCTATCTGCCCTTGCGGCCTTATGCAATTTCAACAGCCTGATCTCGCGTTCGACTTCTGCGCGTGAGGGCGGATCCGAGGAGACGGCCCAAGGAGAAGGGCGCTCAACGCCCGAAGAAGAAAGCGATAACTCAAGTTGGTTAAGTATCCTTGTGAAGTGTTCAGCCCAACGCTCCAAACGTTTTGACAAGCTGTGGATCGGCTGCCCACTCTCGTCGCGTATGGTCTCGCTAACACCAGATCTCCTGCTGCCTGTTTCCCGTATCAGACGGAATAACTTACGATGATTACCAACGGCAGCGGCTGTTTCCATCTCAGAGGCACGATGAGACCACCAGATTTCGCGGTCCTTCTTCAGGCTAGCACGTAGTTTTGCCCTGAGATTTTTGCTAGCCTCATTGTATTCGCTTCCAGCCGGAATACGTCGACGAGCATCCATAAGTTCCAGAGACTGTGTAGAGACCCAATCTCCGGTTTGGCAATTTGCTTTGCCACATGAAGACATGCCTGCTAACAGTAACGTTTGACGAATATGCGATCAGTGGTCTTCAACAGTGTTTAGTGGGCGCTTACCCAGCCCAGATGTCAGCGCACTTTGGTACACATTTAGCACATCTGGCTTTGCCAACTGGCTGGTGTCAATCCGTTCACATCGACGTTGCGGACGTCCACCGAAACGCACCAGAAGGTTGGCACAGACAAGTGCGTGGTCAGAGTCCACGCTCGTGCTCCAAATCGAGCGACAATTTTGAACACGGCCTCTCCAGCGGTAACTGATCGCGATATGATCGATTTGCGTCCATGGTTGGCCCGAGGCTAGTGGCCGCCAAGTCACCCTTCTGTGGGTGCTGTGTCTAAAGTTAGTGCTACAAAGTAACCTGCTTGTAACCTACCAGAACGATGCCCATCCATTACAGATAGCTCAACTCGCGTGCACCTGTTGCTTTTTCCTTTTCTTGTGTATTGCGGCACTGTAGCGGAGGTGTTTTCCACCTTTAGCTAAGGTGTATAATAATATTACTACTATTAATCATAATTGGTTGGATACACTTGCTGTTATGGCGAAGAGCCGACCTCATTGACCTTCGTGTTGTGAGTTTCTTTGTCCACTCCTCTTTAGACTTCCACTCCAATTGCGATCTCATACCAATGTATAATATGATATTTTACATTTTATTACTTGTTTTTTGAATCCTTTGTAGTGTAACTTTTTACTATGTTATCTATTTGTTTGCGGCTCATTAGCTGATGTGTGTTCCATACCCTCAGCTCTCGTGTGTTGCTGCTCACTTCCGGTATACAGGTGCATGGTCGGAATCCACGCTTGCAATCCACATCGAACAACAGTTTTCGATCCAGCCATCCCAACGGAAACTGATTGCAATGTGACAGATGTGTCTAGGACTGGTGGGTGCCATTTCACCCTCCAATGGGTGCTATGTTAGAAGTTACTGATGGTGAGAAATAGGCGGACATCTTCACACACATGTAGCGGTCGCTCACCGTTACAATTCCGGGATCATACACTGTATTAGCCGTCTGAATGCAGCTCATCAATGGCAGTTCTCCAACTTGAGCGTTCATGTCGCCAGTCAGTACTACGGCATCCCTACTTCGGCTAGGACTAAGGAATTCGTTTATTTGACGAAAGAAGTTATCCTTCTCCTAGTCATCGATATAGTTTGTCGGGGGGTAGGCAACAAAGAATAATCGACACCTAGTGGCCTCGCACAACTTCAAAGGCTTGAACTAGCCGGTCCATCTAACGGCTCACATCTGGCTCCTGATTGATATCTAGTCCATGAAAGCACCTTCAGCTCAGGGAATTAAAGCAACGCACGCACCATCTTGACCGGCATTTGAAGCTGCTTCATATCCGCAGGGACGCGTTGAGATAGTGTCACCTGTAGGAGATCGCAGGGTCTTGCAGGCGCGTTTCCCCATCAACGGCAAATGTCCATTGTCAGGGTCTCCAATGTTTGAGCAAGTGCTGCCTGCTGGCCGATCTGTAAAAAGATGTACACATTGAAGCATACCAGCCTTAGGGAGGGTCGAGGGCTCCAGATGAAAACGGATCTTTCGACGCCGTCTGCTTGGTTGTACACGGGCCGGGACACCGCCCTGCGATTGAGTGTGAGTCGAAACTATAATGCAACTGGTATCGAAGCTAGGTGCAGAAAAGCCACAAGTTGAGGGCTTGGAACTATGAGATAAAATAAAGTTGGAAGGGGACCATAAGAATGAGGAAGCGCAAGAGGGGTACTAAGAAGATGGTAAGGCTTGAGTAGTGGTATCTTCACCCTTATCCACCCTACTTGATACAGCAGATAGGGCGCCGTTGATTATCCTCTGCGACGGCTAGAGCATCAAAAGACTATTTGAAGAGTTCATTGTATTGTGTTGACAGGGTACTACCAGATTTCCCAGACCTAGATAGGAGCGCGATTGTAGTTCTCAACCAAAACCTTTGATTCAAAAACCTAACCTTATGGCGGTGGTGTTTTTACAGTGGACTACAAAGAGCCTTTTAAGGAATAAAAAGCCAACCTCACCCCAACCCACAGCCTGAAGAGCCAGCATACTGCTATAAGTGGTTTTGAAGTTGCAAGAATCACCACCAAACCTAGCGCAGAAGATAGATATGTTGCGTTCGGACTCGTCGCGATGGGATCTGTACTTTGAGTCACCAATATTCCCAACAGTTTGAATCTGAACTTTTTATGTTGGTACGATACATTTTCTATCTGGTCAACACGTTTGTTTTTCTTCCTTTTAGCCCTTCGGATTCGCTTTTCCTCCTACTAGCATTAGTGCAAGTTGCGACTACATTGCTCATCAGACCCCTCCCTTCTGCTATGGTTGTACGCGCTCTTCTTATCATGGGAGCAGCCTACCTCCGTCGAATTCGGGGGCTACCGAGAATAATTTATAGAGTACCGAAGAATTTACAGCCTCAGTTGATAAAGGCCCCGGCACAAAAATATTCGTACTTCCGCAGTCCGAGGCTACTTAAATACTTGCGCGGTTTTGCCGGTCGGGACTCATTGGCATCGATCGTGCGGAAGTCCGTAACGGCATCCAGCACTTACAAACGCCCTGGTAGCCTGATTCGAGCATACAGTGGGCTTGCTGGTTCCGTCCACTTGCGACATCAAATTGGTATACCTTATCGGTAAGCGTTTTAGCCGCTAAATGTGGCTTATTGTGTCTTGGCGCCCCAACTGAGCTTTAGTTTCTCTGACTGTTACGCCAACAACTTTTTTAATTACAGTTTCCGGCTATAGCATACATACCACTGCCACATCCCTTGCATACTCATTCTTAAATGTTTCGGTGTTATATTGAACTTCATGCTGATCACTCCACAAATCTCCACGGTTTTCATTCGAATGGTCGGATGTTTCCACCGAGCTTTCCGTAACAGGTTTGGGATGAGTTTTCGCACTGATCATCCAGTTATGGGCATTACTACAAACCTCACAGTCTTGAAGGCTGCCACTTACTTCCTTATCTATGACACCACTGTTTGTGGAGATAGCAAAAGCATCGCTTGACAACGTGCCTAGTATAATGTCCCTGTTTTGTAATTGTAAAAGGAGTTAGTTGCACAGCTACATCCATATTTTTCACTTTGCATGCTGGATCTCGGCAGAGATCTCTGAACCGGGATTGTGGTAGCGTATTTAATACTCGGCGCAGTGGCCACTAACCTTCCTACGGCATCTGATAGCATGTACTGCTGTGTTCCAAAAGAGCCGAAATCTTGACATAGCGCGCCAAGCAGCAGAGGGAGCGCGCTGCGGCTACTGAGCACACGTCGAAGCTTATTTAGTTGATAAACTGACGTTTGCCGCGTTTCGCTCTGACCGTTAGTTGGCGAGTTACAATCACTAAAGTGAGCATATGCACAAGCTCCTCGTCGGAAATCGTCTTCTAACTGCTCCGGAAGTAACTGACTAAGTGGACATCGATGTCAGCAACTACTTGAATAACTAAAGGACGATTTTCTGTGATCACAGCACAAACTTCCTCCACCTGATCATCATCCATTTATTTGGAAGATCATCCAGGGTTTTTGGCATCGTCACCTGCCGACATTCTGCTTGTGTTTAAAACGCTTAGACCACTTATATCGCTGCATGTGACTCATACAGTCCTCCCCGTGTGCTTGGTGATTCATTTGAAATGTCTGTAGAAGTTTTGCCACTTTTGTAGCACACACGCACGCCATTGTTCTTCAAGCTATTTCACTGTCACTGACATCCAGTGAGCAGCTTGTGCACGTGCTCACTTCAATAACTATAGCTCGCCAACTAACAGTCAGAGCGAAACACGGCAAATTGCGGTTTCTTGTCTAAACAACTCTCTACTTGCGCTCCCTCGTCTGGTTGGCGCGCTGTTTCAAATGTTCGGCTCCTTTTTGTACACAGTAGTATGAGGAATTTAAAGCAGTTGGTTCCCTACAACAATTTGCAAAGCACGGAAAGAAGACAAAGACTGGTAGATGCATGCATTTCGTATTTTCTCCTCAATGCCATTAACAACAACCCATATGCATAGATATATCTCACTGTGGGGGCAACCAGACAAGCTTGAGGTGCAGAACGCATAACGAAAGTTCGCCCCTACGTCCAAGGCAGCTTCAGCCTGACAAATGATTGTTTCTGAACGCACAAAGCTGGCTTCATCCGGCTTATAGCGACCGCTTTAGCAAATAGAAGGAAGCGGGGATTAACGTGACGCAACACAACTATGAATGATGTGCCTATCTCTATGCGGTGACCCGAGACTAATAGCTGTTTGCCTATCGAGGAAACCGACGGTCTACACGGGCACGCAGTTTGACGGGGATATCATAGATTGCGGTGGGCGCAACATCGATTTTTGGGTTACCGCACTGTATGCGACGCACATGCTGGACTTGGCTTCAGCCACTGACGTACTGTGTAGTTCCACAGATGATATCTGTCAACCAGCCTGATTCACAGTGATGCACCCTGACCAGATTAACACTTTTTAAAATCTTTGCTTTAAAGTTCTGCAAATTTTACTTCTCAAAACAACTCACCTCCACCGATCTCCTGTCATCTGGGCAGCGATATTTATTGTCTGTAAACAAATTAGTTAGGTCATTACAGCTTGGGTCTCGCTTTCAAACTGTAAGCTATCGGGTATGCTGAAATATAATCTGAATGTTTTTCCAAACACAAACCATCTAAGCGGCAAATTCGCTTGGATCTTGAGCAATTCGTTAAGCTCTTGGACCAAACCAAAACAAAGACGAAACTAAACTACTATACTTAGTGCGGCAACAGTCGAGTCTTTACCAGGTATATCAGCAAAGTACAAATCACCGTACTTGCGGCTGTATGCCCAGGTCGTAAGAACTAGAGTCCGCGCGCGGAATCCCACGATCTCTTTTGTTGGGTCACATAACCCTATCCAATGATGTGTTCGTTGTGCGGCGCATAAAGGGACACACTGCGTCAGGTTTACTGGTGGCTTCTTGGGGGGGGGGGGAATAATGTGTCACGGAGAAGGTATGTGCGAAGACATAAATAAACGGACGACTGGCAGGTGTAATCCGTGGAGCAAATTGCACAGCCGATTGCGAGTTGTGACAGCCGAGGTTAAAATAAAATCATGTGTGGTGTGGAATAGGTAGACAAAAGAGGTTTGGCATGTAGGTGGTACGCTAATGTTTAGCAGATGGTATAAGTGTCATTTTTATGATCCAGAGCAATATTTTAATATCAACCTCTTGACGTACATGATAAGTTTACTGTTAGCACAGCATGATGCTTGCCTGATTGCTAGAAGTATATTCGTAGGATGAATGTTTAATGCAGTGCTCCTCAACCTGGGGTACACGTACCGCTAGTGGTTCTGTTGTGGTCCTTTATTTTTCACAAATCGTTATTGCTGGAATGCCAATACTACTGTAAATGTGTGAAAAACTCCAAACTTGCTTTTATTAGTTAGTGACTACGCCTCGCTTTTAGTTTCCGATGGTTTTCTTCAAATCTTCTTTCTAATGTCTGCCTCTCTTCACATTGGCTTCTGTCCTTTACCCCCTCCCCGAAACATCCCTCATACACGTTCATGGATAGCCTCCTTTGCTATATCTCTTCCCGATGTTCAGGATTTATAGACATTAGAACGCCCCTTTCTCGAACCGACTCCTTAAAGTCCTGTATAATCTCACGCTTATCTTTTGCCAATCTTTTTTTCTTTTGGTGGCACGAGAGAGAAAATGGCTGATAAAGCTAACTACTATTTACTTGTCTGTATTTTTGTTCCTCTTCGTCTGCCCTTGATGATGGCATAATAGCCAAAATACTGTTTTCGTTCTATTTATTTTTATCCACTGTTGTGTCACCGTTCTTTCTCATTTTACCTTCTTCTTGCTTACGGTCTCACTCTTTATAGCATGCAGTATCGTGCGCATTTCCCTTAAGATAGGCAAATTTATTATCAGAAACGTGAAGTGGTTGTAGTTACTACCTCTTCAAATGAATACGACGGAAATTAACGATCCATTTACAGTTGAAATTCAGTTTACCGCTTCTCATGTAGCGGTACTTGTTGAAAAAGTGTAAGGTCTGGTTTATGATACCCATCTGGATTGTTACATCATTTATCTTGGTGCTAGTTGCGTAATGTTTTTGAGTAGAACTAAGCTACAGCCTTAAACTAAATCAGAAGATGGGTCTGGCTATATCGTAGTTAGGTTACAATTCGTGATGGTCTATTGCCGTCCCCCATGGCTCAGTGGCTTAAGCTGCTGGCTAGTTGGCGCTAGCGTCTAGCGGTCGTGGGTTCGATCCCCAGTTAGGGACCGAAGGATGCGCACCACTGGCACGCCCCAATAGGGCGAAACGCGCGTCTGGTACTTTTCTGGCTGGCTAGCTCACTTATGCCGCTTGGAATCTAATTGCGATGGACCAAATCAAACCAGAAGTGTTGACACCAACAATCGATAAACAAGTACATGAGTAGGGAAATAAATAAACTCGACGAGGTTACTGATTGAATAAATACAAAAATTAATGTAAGATGAAGCAATGACGACTTACCGTTACTAGGTATGGTGTTTGCAGTCACCTGGATACGACTTAAAGCTTTGCAGCTGACAGAGGTCATGGAATGTAAGGATAAGCGGACTGTTAACTGCAGACTATCCGTGCCATAGCTTAAACTTGAGCCAGTCCGATCATCTGTCCGGGGTATGTACGGATTCACGAGAGTGCTTGTGATACCACAGTTCAATGTGTTTTGCATAGTGTATTACTATTTATTGTCTCTGGTTGCCTGCTCTGCCTGCTTTCATTTTTTATCGAGAATGCTACCTGTGTCCCTGTAATTCGCTTTTATTGACAAACGTCCAAGATTCCAGAGATCATAGTGTTGCAGTTGTCATTGGACCTAGCTTGATGACTTGTCTTGATCTCAGCGTGTATGCATGAAAGCGAGAGCAGTGCAAGGGGCACTTGACCGGGTTACTTCGAGTTCGTTGCGACCGGGGATAGATTAGGGTGTCACACTAATGGAAATGCGATTCATTGGTCAAGTTGAAACGTATCGAAATCGGACATATGTTAGGGTTACTTCCAAATTGTACTAATCCCCAAATAGATTAGCGTGTCGCGGTTGCGAGGATGCGATTAATCTATATAGCTAACATGGCGCTTACAACCCCTTCCAAAGCAAAATTTTCAGCATATCGACGATACGATAGTGGATTTTGTCGAAATGTGGCTCGACTGGCTCGATGCGTGCAATGTCCAAGTTACCGATATTGCGGGGGTATCTGATGCTTTTACTAGGGCTCCTCTTTTTACTTTTTTAGTTGAAGTAACTGTTTAGGAATAGCACACACGCCACATAATTACACATCCTGAGTGCAAGCTGTATCATTTCTATCCTATAATCTCTGACTCTCGTTTTTTGTGTTTTGCTTTCCTATTCCATATCGAAGGCTTGCTTCCGCGTACAGTCATCTTACCACGATTTAATTTTTATATCTGAATTAACCTAAGCTATCTTAACTCCCTTATTCGCTTCTACCTTTTTAGCCGATTTTTATTTTTTACACATCTGTCGCCTATAGCTCATTGATTTTGAAATATTTACGTTTGGTCATTCTAATTCACTTCTACCCTATCACTTCGTCGCCACCACCATCATAACCGTTTTTCTACACGTTAGTGATGCACGGTACCAGGCGCTCGTCGCCTGCGTTTGTGTACCGCCAGCTACTAGTCCGCCCGCCATAGCTCTTGATTAGTGATTTTATTGAAGCGTCCATGTGACTCACGCAAATTTCTCCCGCTCAGCGTTGTCCGTCGACTTATAGTTGTTCTTACCGTTCGCCCGAATAGCCTTCTTAATACACAGCCGCGTTTCCTAATTTCGTCTTTGCGTAACGATTTGCTAGTGTCACGAGGAAAGAAAAACAAATGCAAATGTTTTTGCTATACACTGAGATTTAAATCTGTTTGGGGAGGGAGTCAGGCGACATGACGGAGTGGCAAGGAATCTCATGCCATCGACTGTAACGCTGTGCATCTGGGAAATGTACCTACCGTCGAGTTACATGAACGTGCAATCTTGTTTCCACAATCTGGTTAGAGTTTGTCGACGGCAATGATTATAGTGAATCCGAACTCGAAGAAATTAGTGATTTCGCATCAGCCATCGCTTTGTGTGGGTTGCGCACCAATGCAAGCCCGTCGTGCGATTTTCCTGGCTTCAGGATATCGGACCAAATATCAACTTTAGCTCTCCTATTAATTACCGGCGTCTGTTGGAGGTCAGATTTGTAGCTCGGGTTGGGTGTTCAGTTGCTACGGTGTTCATCGAGCTTGAAAGCAAATTTTCCCAACCCGTCAAGCACAACAGAAACTTGATATAATTCGTCTCTCTCCAGACGGCCTGATGTTCTTTTTATATCACCGTTTGAAATGTTCTTATAGTGTGATTGTAATTTGGATGACTCAATCGCTTCTATATTTATGGTAAAGCGATGATCTCGGTTACGGTGCAAGTAGGTACTCTTTGTTGCACGGATTTATCATTTATCTCTCCTGCTTAGTATCTTTCCTCTCCATCTCGATATATCACAGTTCCGATTTTACACCAATCAATGAATTGTCCAAACCTCCTGAGCAATCTTGGATTAGTGGCTTTCTCTCATCCATTAATCGGTTTCCCACATTACCTAACTTCTCGAATCAAATCCCGGTGCTCGCTCCAAAAGAGCTGATCGGAACTGGTTGCAATAGCGCTGTTTGGGCTGCCGACCTGGAATCCTGTGAAGATGGCGATGGTGAGTCAATTTGTATCACTCTATCACGCTGTGACTTTCGTTTCTCTACGGATATGTCACTTACATCAGTAAGCGGCGCTTTACATCACTGGACAGTTTTTGTGAAACTTATTGTCTTTTTCACTGTTATTTACCCTACCATATGTCAATCGCCTACCTTGACTCCGGCTGTTTAGCACGTTTGTACCCTATCGGCCGAAATCTTTGTTGCTTAATCAAACAATAGCTCAGTGAACGGAACGAGACAGCCTATCGAAAAGATCCATTCTGTTGTGCTTGCGTTTCTCTCCTACTGCGTTCTCCAACTCAGTCGCGCGATTGGTTACCGATGTTATCCAGCACCGTTAGTAATGCTGTTGCATTTGTTTAATTACTCTTAACCCGTGAAGTTTCTATCCGATGATTTCGGCGCTTCTCCATCTACCAATTGTGCTTACCTTTTCTTCAGTTCTTCCTATTATTTTTCTCACTATCATGGCTGCAGGTGTTTTGTTAGTTCGCTTGATGGTGCGCAATTCTAACTCTGATTACTGATGTCTGCGAGGCGTACCTCAGATGTGTCATGACTGCTGTGTGAATGCCGCTGACGTCTTCGTCTTTGTTCTTAGCCTCAAACTGTCTGATGTTGTAGTACTCATTGAAGTAGCATTACCTGAATTGAGTAGATTAGTCTCTTCATATACGTACAGACAGATCATCTTGCTATTTATCACATCACTCCTAGGATCCGAACTCGCTACAGAGCCAGCGAATTTACTCTCGATTCAAAACACTATTGCTGGGCTACTAGCTACTTGCTAACCCTTTTTATCTTGCTGGTGAATCGCCGAAGCTAGTTGAGTAACTCACCGATTGTGGTAGCCGCATTTGTAGTGATGGACATGTAGTCGCCGTAGTTATCTCTCCTGTTACCTGAGTTATAACCACCTTCGTGCATGTGGACAACTTTGGTGTTAAAAGCGGTTCCCTTAGTGGTCGTCAAGCGTTACTCTCCTTTACTCTGCACTCCGCAGTCTGTTTCGCAATTGTTTGGTCTCTTCAGATGCAGATAGTAGAACTGCAGCTCGAACTTGGGGTGTAGGGATTGCGAGCCGAGACGTTGGTGTCAAAGTGAATAGTGGTCTCAGTAGAGATTACGTGTCACTATCGTTTCCCACAACTGGTAATTCGAAACAAATTACCTTCCTGATCTCAGACGTCCTCTATGCATTATCACAGACTGATCGCTAACGGATTCGGTCCGAAGCACGAAGTACCCAGCCCCCATGTAACTGCTGGTAGTTACGTCACAGCTGAGCGTTAGTACGAGTTGCCAGTGTACTGCCGATACCTTCTACTGGACCACGGGGATATCTGCTTTTTTCTGGACCTTACCATCACAATGAGGCTGGACCTTACCGTTTTGCGATGGTTTGCGTGCCTCAGAGATCCATTGAGCTATGCTGGGTGATACATTTTTTTCATCTTCAGAGCCACTCATACCAGATTGGTCAATGGTTAGAGGCCAGACAAACTCAACTTCCTGGTCCTCCAGGTTGGGGGTTGGAATAAGGGTGGCTCCTTATTCCTTAAAACGGACTCCTTGTAGCCCAACGCCAAACCCGCTGCCTTGCGGTCAGGTTTTTGAACCGAAGGCTTTGGTTGAGAACCCTAATCGTTCTCCTGTCTAGGCCTGGGCAACCTGACAGTATCCTGCCCACGCAATACTATGAATCTTACTTAAACAATTTCTTGATGCTCTGGCCACCGCAGAGGATAATCAACGGTGCCCTATCTGCTGCATCGAGCAGGGTGGATAGGGGTTCGAATGCTGCTGCTCAAGCCTACCCATCTTTTTATTCCCCCTCTTACACTTTTTCACTCTTACCGTTTCGCTCCAGCTTCACTTTTATCCCCCCCTGTTTTCAACCCCAATTCTTGGCCCTCCCCTAGCTTTGATAGGCTTTTACCTTTCAGTGTCAAATCACATGTGAATGCGGAGCGTCATCCCTGCCCTATCGACTAGCCCATGTCCAAGCAAGCGACCAAGCCCAGTACCTCGGCATCCATTTGGAGCGCTCGATCATCCTTCAGATTGGTATGCCTCAGTGTTCGCACATTGCTTCAGATCGGTCAATAGGCAGCACTTGCCCGAACATTAGAGACCTTCTCGATCGATATCTGCTGCTTATCGGAGACCCACCTGCAAGACTCGAGCTCTGTGCCCACTCTGCGATCCCCTTCAGGTGACACCAGCAGCACTTTCTCATTGCGCCTATCCGGTGACGATGCAGCTTCGAGCACCGGCCAAGCCGGTGTTGATATTGCCCTGAGTTCCTGGGCTGAAGCTGTTCTGGTTGGTTGAATCCCAATCAGTAGCCTGTCCGATTGGCTGGCTCCTTCAGAGCTTCGAAGCCGCACGGGATCAACAGTTGTCTATTCGTTATCGCTGCCTATGCAGCCACATACTCTAGCGATGATTCGGTAAAAGACTATTTCCATCGCCAACTGAACGAGCTCCTTCGCCACAGAATCAGCTCGCACACTTGGGCAGTGCTGCGGATCTGAACGCACTGGTTGGAAAGTTGTCCACTACTGAACTGCATCTGGGCAGCCAACATAGTCTAGGCTCCCGTAATGATAACGGTGAGCGGTTACTTTATTGATGTGAAGATGCTCGCTTATTTCTTGCGAGCACTAATTTCCTATACAGCACCTGCCGGATGGTGACTTGGCGCCCACCAACCTCAAACCGGCTATTGACGCAAATCCATCACATTGCGCCGAAGTGCCACTGGGCGTCCTCCTGTAGCTGGCCAGCGATGGACCCAAATTGACTACATAGGCATAACTTACAGGTGGCGTGATTCCATCCTGGATTGCCGCTCGTACTGGAATCCCTGCGTCGACTCTGATCATGCCTTGGTACGCTGTCGTTTCTCCATGAACTTTACTGGGAGGTGCACCAAGCGTCCCCTCCGATTGACAACTGAGAAATTGTCTTAACCCTCAGTCAGTCAAGTCTAACAAGACGCACTGCATACCGAAATGTCTTGCTCTAATGACACTGAACTTCAGTGGAACAGGATCTCGGCCGCCATACACGACACAGGAGCATCTGTTTGTGAAACTATCAATCGTCACCGCACCAGTCACTGGATATCTGAGAAGTCGGTGAACCTGTTGGAATGGAGAGGAAACCTCCCGGCTGGCTCGGAGCCCAATGCGACCAGACGGGCTATTAGGCGCGAACTAAAGCGGAGCCTACATGCTGACAAGGAAGCCTGGTGGACCAGTCGGTTTCAAGAAATGGAGGAGGCAGGAGCAGTAGGCAATTACCGCAAGCTCTTCCAGCTAATCCGCATCACTGGTCCCAGAAAACCAGGCGTCAGTGAAACAATCAGAGACAGCGCGGGTGCACTGATACACAATAAGGAGTGCCGTATGGCTCGTTGGGCGGAACACTTTGAAGATCAGTTCAGCTGGCCCCTGCTCCCGGACCTCTTCCTACTCAGGTGATGCAGGACGAGCCATGGACGGTTAGTTTAGAGCCTCCGTCGGAGGCCGAGGTCCGAAACGCGATCACAGCTCTTAATCGTTTTCGTGCCGCTGGCCCGGATCCCCTCCCACCTGCACTATTTAAGGATGGAGGTGAGGTCCTCTGCAAAGCACTGACCTCCCTATTCGAACGTATCTGGAACGAAGAGAGTGTGCCGGCTAATTGGAGCGAATCGATTATAGTGGCAATATACTAGAGGGGCAGCCGCACAGACTGTTCTTACCACAGGAGTATTAGCCTAACGCCAGTTGTGACAAAATTATTGGCCTCGATTCTCGTTTATCGCCTTACTGGGGAACGGGAATCTAGGATTAGGGAAGAGCGGGCCGGTTTCCGTCCAGGGCGTAGCTGCGTGGACCATATATTCACTTTGCGGTAGGTGCTAGAGCACAACGTCACACATACCTCAGACGGACAATAGCTGTGTTCCTTGATTTCAAGTGTGCATTCGATACAGTCGATCGATGCATTCTGTTCTGTATACTTGTGCGGAAAGGTGTTCCAACGAAATATGTGAACATCCTTCGTGCTCTACTCTCGAACACTACAGGTCTCGTCAGGGTCTACGGTGGCTTATCGGATAGCTTTCCGACCATAAGTGGCATTCGTCACGGTTGTCCTATTTCCCCATTTTTGTTCAATTTTCTCGTGGACTCTATAATAGAGTGTTCCCTTGCGGAACCTCATGATGTAGGCGTTGAAGCGCTGCCTGGTAAATGATTATTTGATCTTCATTATGCGGACGATATCGTCTTGCTTTTCCACTATGTTGTGACGGCACAATCAACCATGAATAGCCTGTCTATAGTGGTTCCATTATTTGGTATGCAATTCGCACCTTCAAAGTGTTACTGCTGGACCACCGCCATTTTATGTCCCCTTGACCCTTGCTAACGAGGAACTCGAGGTGGTTGATCAATTCACTTATCTCGGCCGCTGCATCAGCAATGATGGGCGCACAGAAACTGACCTCAGCTCACGCATTGCAAAGACCAGAGCTGCCTTCTTGAACCTGCGGCATCTTTGGCGACAGAAGGGAGTTACCCTCCGTCTGAAAGGCCGTGTATACGAGACCACAGTGAGGGCCGTCCTGCTATATTGGTGTGAGACTTGGCCCCTTCGGTCTGAAGATCTGAGGCGCCTTCGAGTCTTTGATCATCGTTGTCTGTGAAGTATTGCTGCTGTCAGATGGCACCAGCGTGTCCGCAACGATGATGTGCGTAGGCGAGTACTAGGTGGTGATAATCATGCTAGCTCCCTAGAACAACAGATAGTACTGAATAAGTTGCGTTGGCTCGGGCACGTGCAACGCATGCCTGGTCACCGCTTACCTAGGAGGGCCTTGTTCAGTCTACCAGGTGTAGGATGGCGCAAGGCTCGAGGTGGACAGAAGTTGACTTGGCAGCGGGAAATAAAGTTACTGACGATCAAACTGGGTACCGTTAGTCCGTCTCGCCTACCA